TGACTTCTGCGCCGCTCAGCCGGGCCGCTGCAGGGGAGCAAGTGGTGCAAGTGGCTGTGTGGGCTCCGCGGTCCCCCGAGTGAGAGGCAGGAGGAGAAGGAGAGAAAGACAGAGAGAGAGAGAGAGAGAGAGAGAGAGAAACGGAACGAGAGACCGGAGGCTCAGAAGAGAAGACTGACGTGGAGGAGAGACCTGAAAATCCTGTCTTATGACAGGCTAATTGGCTAATTTTAAAATATTATCTGTTGTTTACATAGAAAAGCACACAATTTTTATACCTCTTCCTTCTGTGAAAGAGTTTTAATTTCTTTCTTAGGCATATTGTTTTCTTCTTCCATCTTTTTCTCCAAGTAATGTGTAAGAATGTTGTTCAGTTGTTGCTCATACAGGCTTACATGTTGCACTCCAAACTCTCTTCCTAAAAGCAGCCATATAGGACAATTACACCTTATTGTGCAACATCTATCACATATTCCATATTGTCATGATGAAAATATCTAATTCCCACCAAAATGCTAAAAGGACATGTTTCCCTAACCTTGAAAACTGGATTTCTGCAAGGAGCCTAACCATTATAAATCAACGGGGCTCTCCCTCTGATGTCAACAGGTGGCTAACTTAGTGAGCAGATATTTGGCAACAACTGTTCCCTTGCAGCAGCTCCTATCTTTTATTTCAGCAGCTGAGAGACTGTAATATGCCAACTTGTTTTTAAAGTGGGCAGTGTGCACCCTTCCCCTGTATTTGTGTACCAACGCCTGGTAAAGAGTGTTAGCTATACTTCAGAGTCTGAGTTTTCATTTTTAAAAATCACTAGGAGGTAACAAACTTCAGAAGTGTTCCATTAAGCTAGGTGTAAGTTACCACCTATCTCCCTATTTGGCCATTTGTGTATTGTATGCCTCGTGCTGCATGCCTATTGGCATACTGAGCTAGGTGAAAACTGAAAAACATGACAAGGCATGGGAGGAAATCTATAGGAATAAACAGTACTTATGTTTATGAATAAAGACAAAGAATTGGTCTGGTATATGTTGGAGGGCAGAAGGATACAGGATCCTTCATCTAGCTGGCAAAGTAAGTGCTTGTCTCATGAAAGGAGAGTTATAGCCAGATACCTGATGATATAAGGAAAGAGGGCAGCTTACTCGGAACACTGATTACAGATTGCTAAGCATAAATAATAGTTTGCAGATAAGCTTCAGACATTTAAATAAGATGCAATGCCATTTTATTGCAGCCAGGAAAAAACCTATTCTAATTAAAAGGTGGTTTTAAAATAAAAAATATTTTACCTTCGCAGTGGTGAATTACACGTCCCCATAGTTTGTTCTTATTCAAACAGGCCAGATTTCCCACAATCAACAAATGCCTCTTCCCTCTTGTCAGGGCAACATTCATTCTCTTTTCTGAGTCTATGAATCCAACTTGTCTTGTTCTCACACAAGACAGAACAATGATTTCCTTTTCTGCTCCTTGAAATGCATCTACAGTAGACACTTGGACAGCTTTTATCTCAAGAGCATCAGAGTGTACAGCACTTAGTAAATTGTAAATCTGTGGACAAATGAAGATGATGGAGTTGCAGTTTTTACAGATCTACTAGCTACATAGTCGCACTCACTCACTCCAATATAAATGCTGATTCAGTCTGAGTCTACTCACATTCAATAAACTAGCAACTCTATTGATTATAGATTACAGGTAGAGATGTAAGAGTTTAACTAGTTAACTGATAAGCATCAGCTTATCTGTTTCCATTGCAGTTAAAATCTTCTGCCCTGCAGGCCTGCACTCGCCACCCCTCTCTCCCAGCCCCCACTCTCTGCAGTATAGGAGAAGGCTTATACTAGAGAGCATGGGTTCGCAAACTGGGGAGCATGCCCCCCTTGGGGGGTGTGAAGAAATTCCAGGGGAGGGAGTGAGGCGACCCAGCCCCCCCCACACCCCATCAATCCCACCCCAAGTTTTGCTGCTATTTTTTTTGGGGGGGGGAGAGTTTCTCAAAAATCAAAAAGGGGGGCTTGATGCTGAAAAGTTTGGGAACCACTGCTATGGAGCCTGCAGTGCAGTTGGCTCTCTGAGAGCAGCCTGCAGGAGGCACTGCCTGAGCAGCCTTCCCTCTCTAAGCCTACCTGGCCAAAAACAGTTCATTGTGTAGCTGCTAGGATTTTTAACAGTTCCACGCTTACTTTTTTTTAAACCTTTTTTACATGTCTAATTACAGGAGTACTTCCATCAAATGTCAGCAGTAGACTCAGCGCAAAATTTTGTGCTTGCACAACATCCATACATGTGATAAGGGAAAACATTCCTGACAAGCAGACAGAGAGCCCTGCATACATTACACTTTGTGATGACAAGTATATACAGCATAAAATTCCTCCTTTGCCAAATAAGGATCTTCATGTTAGACACAATGTTTCATGTTAGACACAATGTTTCCCTATAATCATTATGATTCCATATAATGAGTCCATTCCTGACATACACTTCAATTCACAATGGGCTTCCAATTTACTAATTTAAATTTTGAGAGGTTTGGATGTATTAGTAATACATTCACTGAATTTGGTCTAAGGTCACCAGATAACAAGTGTGAAAAATTGGGGCAGGGTGTGTGTGTGTGTGTGTTTGGGGGGACAGGTGGATGAACCAAACTTCTGACACAGTGCATGTCAGCTATATGAATTAACTCAATCTTTCTGATTTGCTTAGTAGCAAAGTTATGCAAATTGCTATGAATGTGTTTAGTAGTATAGTAAATGCAAACTTTTTGTTCTAACTATGTTCAAATGTTATTTGGTACTCCTTCCTCATTGTTTTGAATCCACCAGGGGGAAAAAATCCAGACTACTCAATTCAAAGACAACTATTTATAAGAATACTTGTTCTTTTGGAGGAAACAAAACTATATAAATATTACCATCTTTAATAAAGAATAGAAACTTAAATTATGAAAAAAAAATTATTGCAAGTTCATAACAACCAAAGAGGCTCAGACCAAAGGTCCATCTAGCAATAGTATCCTGCTCTGAGTGGCCAGTGCAAGCTGTGTTAGAGGAAATGAAATGAGCAGGGACATTTCAGTTGTCCAGTCCCAGCTTCTGGTAGGTGGAGGTTTCGGGACATGTGGAGCCTGGGGCTGGGTCCCTGACAATTTTGCTAAAAACCATTGGTAGACATACCTTCATGAACTTTCCTAATTCTCTTTTGAACCCAGTTATGCTTGTGGTCTTTTCAACACCCTCTAGCAATAAACTTCCACAGGTTGTGGAAGAATTTTCCTTTGTTTTATACTTGCTGGTCATTAGTTTTATCATGTGGTACCTTGTTGAGTTTATGTGAAAGAATAAATAACACTTCCCTGTAACTTTCTCCACCCTATTCATGATTTCATAAACATCTATCATTTTCTCCCTTAGCTATCTCTTTTCTAAAATGAGAAAGCACAGGTTTTTTAAAAATCTCTGCTCATAGGAAAACTGTTCTCCTAATCACTATTGCCATTCTCTGTACTTTTTCCAAATCTCATACATATTTTGTTGACAGGGGGAGAGACAAACAGCACATTGTATTCAAAGTATGGGCATTCCATGGATTTAGAGAGTGGTACTGTGATATTTTCAATTTTATTACCTATCTGTTTCTGAATGGTTTCTAGCTTTGCTAGCTTATTTGATAGTTGCTGCACACTGAAGAGATGTTTTCAGAGAACTATCCACAATCGGTCCAAGATCTCTTTATGCATGATAACAGACTCCATTTTGTATGTACGGGTGGGATTCTTTTTTTCTAATGTGCATTATGTTGTACTTTTCAAAATTTGAATTCCAGCTGTCATTTTGTTGCCCAGTCACTAACTGGTCTGAGGTCTGTTTGTAACCGTCTGCAGTCTTTTTGGACTTAACTATTCTGAGTAGTTTTGTATAAGATATAAATGTTGCCACTTTACTGTTCATTCCCTTTTCCAGATCATTTATGAATAAGCTGTATAGCACAGTTCAATTCAGATTGTTCAGCTTAGAAAAGAGGAGACTAAAGGGGTATATAAAATCATGACTGGTGTGGAAAAAGTGAATAAGGAAGTTATTTACTAATTCCCACAATATAAGAACTAGGGGTCACCAAATGAAATTAATAGGCAGAAAGTTTAAAATAACCAAAGAAGTTTTTCTTCACTCAGCTCACTGTCAACCTCTGGAACTCCTTGCCAGAGGATGTGGTGAAGGCTAGGACTTTAACAGGGTTAAAAAAAAGAGCTAGATAGATTCATGGAAGTTAGGTCCATCAATGGCTACAAGCCAGGATGGGTAAGAATGGTGTCCTTAGCCTCTGGAAATGAGTGACAGGGGAGGGAATCACGTGAGGTTTATCTGTGGAGTTCCCTCTCTCTGGGGCATCTGGTATTGGCCAACAGGATACTGGGCTAGATGGATCATTGGTCTGACCCAGGTTGGACGTTCTTATGTTCTTAAACTCTTTCTCTCTCTCTCTCTCCTCGTTGTGAAAACTGATCTTTTAGTCCAATCCTTGGTTTCCTATCTTTTAATCAATTAGTTATCTGTGGCAGCATCTTACCGCTTATCCCATGACTCCTTAGTTTGCTTAGGAGCTATTAGTGAAAGGCCTTGTCAAAGGTTTTCTGTATACCATATCAACAGGATTACCATTACCCATGTGCTTGTTGGCACACTAAAAGAATTCTAAAAGACTGAGACATAATTTTTCTTTAGAAAAAATCATGTGGACTTCCCCCCAACATACAGAGGTCATCCATGTGTCTGACAATTCTGATCTTTACTATAGTTTAAACCCATTTGCTTGGTGCTGAAATTAGGCTTAGCAGCCTCTGAAGACAGTTGTTAAAAGGGGCATGATATTAGTTACTCTTCAGTCTTCCATTACAGAGTTTGATTTACGTAATAGGTTTCATGCTATATTAGTTATTCTGCAATTTCATATTTGAATTCCTACAGAACTCTTGGTTCTGATAATTTATTACAGGTTGCACCTCAAAAATCTGGCACTCTGTGAGCCAGCAACATCCACAGTCTAGCAAGACCATAAATGCTCCTGGCAGGAGGTCCAGGTGGGGCCAGGAGCAGCAGGACTGGCAGCCTGGCCAGGGCAACCTGCGGCAAGCGAGCCAGGCCAGGCTAGTGATGCGGGGGAAAGGCAGAGTGCCTGCTGGGGTGGTAGGTAGACAGCAGCATACAGCGATATGGGGACCAGTGGCAGGGGATCTCCCCTGGTCTGAGACTGGCCAGGTCCCAAGGGTGCTGGACCAGGGCATTCCAACCTGTATTGTTCAATTTATCAATTTATTCCATAACACCTCAAACTAGGACAATTCCTTAGATTTGTCCCCTAAAAAAATGGCTCTGGTGTGTGGATCACTCCCACTTTTTCTGTAGTGAAGACTCATGCAAATAATTCAATTAGCTTTTCCACAGGTCTTCATTGAGTGCTCCTGTATCCAGTGGCTCCGCTGACGCTCACCATCGTGGTCAGATGGTTGGTAATATGTTCCTACTGCTATATTCCTCTCGTTCAAATGTGGCATTCTTATCCATAGAGATTCTGTGGCACAGTTTGATTTGTTTCGGATTTTTACAATACCTGAATTTGCTTTCTTTTACTTACAGTGCCTCTAGCTGCACAACCTACTCTATCGTTCCTATATATTTTGTACCCTAGCAATACTGTGTGCCATTGATTCTCCTCATTCCACCAAGTTTCTATGATGCCTATTATACCAATATCCTCATTTACCGCCAAACACTTTAGTTCACTGATCTTAACATTTAGACTTCTGCATGTGCATATAAGTACGTATAAATATTGTCTATATTTAGTTGCTTGCCTTCATGTATCAGATTTAAATGAGATTCATTTACAGTTGACTGTTCATCACTACTTTGTGAAAAGCATAGTACATACCTTATACATCTGTGATTTATATAATGTAATCACCCCAATCATGGATCCCTCTATTCCACTTGCAATCAATGACTGGATAAGCTTGATTATAAAATAAACTTCTGCCATGTTATAAAAGCTATTGTCTCTTTCAATCTGGAGATGGGAAAAAATTTCAAATTATGCTCTGCTAAAAGGCGATTTAAATAAAATTAGCCATCCAATGATGATACATGTTAACAAGTCAAATCCTAAACCAAGATAACTATTAAAAACCTACCTGCTCTATCCCATTAACATTAAAGAAACATAGTGTTGGAAGCCAATCCAATAGAGGACTTCTGTCCATCTCTGAAATACCATCCAACAGATTTCCTTCATAGAACAGATCATTGACTATAGAGCTAATAGCAGGGTGACAACGATACTGTGTCCTAAGAAAGACTGCATTGTGTCCCTACAGAAATGCAACACAGAAAATACAAAGAAAATGTAAATAGTTGCTAATAACTTTGCAAAATATTACTGGGATATTTCTCAATACTGTATATCAAACAACTTAAAAAAAAGTTTTACTTAGACCAGTGATTCCCAAACATTTTTGCTCATGCCCCTCCTCCCCCCGCCCTCACTTGGCCCATGCCTCTCCAGAAGCCAGGGTCACAGAGCCATGGTGAGGAGCTGGGACTGGGAGTGGGGCTGCGGTCCTCTCCCTCCTGAATATTCTTCCATATACCCCTAGGGGCATGCCTCACAGTTTGGAGATCACTGATTTAGACTATAGTGAAAACAAACCAAAATTAAATTACAGGTTGAACCTCACTAGTCCAGAACTCTCTGGTCCAGAAATATCCATTGTCTGGAATGATTTTCATAGGTGTAACCAAGTTTCTCATTGTCCACTTTTCATGGGTGTAACCAAGTTTCCCATAATCCCATAAAGCTTGTTTTAAAGCCACCAGTCCTAGCTCTCGGTGTTCTGTGCTGTTATTTAGCTCCAATTTACTCATAAATGTCCTCTAACAGCCCAGTAAACAGTGGAAGTGTGGGTAATGCTGCTAGACAATACTGACCTCCCGTGGTCCAGAAAATTCTCTGGTTCAGAACCGATCAGGTCCCTAGAGTGTTGGACTAGAATGCCGGACTAGAGAGGTTCAGTCTGTATTAAACTCCAGGGCTGTCTCTAGACTGGCCGCTTTTCCGGAAAAACTTGCCAGCTGTCTACACTGGCCGCTTGAATTTCTGCAAAAGCACTGACTATCTCATGTAAGATTGTCAGTGTTTTTGCGGAAATACTATGCTGCTCCCGTTCGGGCAAAAGTCTTTTTCTGAAAAACTTTTGAGCAAAAGGGCCAGTGTAGACAGCAGAGATTTGTTTTCCACAAAAAAGCCCCGATCGCGAAAATGGTGATTGGGGCTTTTTTGCGGAAAAGTGCGTCTAGATTGGCAACGGACGCTTTTCCGCAAAAAGTGCTTTTGCGGAAAAGCGTCCTGCCAGTCTAGATGCGCTTTTCCGAAAATGCTTTTAACGGAAAGCATTTCCGGAAAATCATGCCAGTCTAGACGTAGTCCAGTTGTGTTCCTGGAGCTCTCATTCGTATTAATGTAACTGGAAGTTACTCCCATTTTATTCAGACACATGTTATTTTTAAACTCCTATGAGCTGTTCAATTATTTGAGTAACATTTCCAGAAAAAAATCCGGACAAAGCAATTTAAAAAAAATTAATGTCCTAAAATAACATTTACACAAAGATGCATTAAGATTAACTGCCTCATGGAACACAGGAAAGAAATGCCAGCAACGCTAAAGTCAACAGGGCCTGGATTTCATCCCATAGCTTTTAGTAGCACATACCATCAAACTAAGGCGGTCAAAGAGAGTCTGCTCCAATCCATTATCATGAGCACCTTCAGACCCTTGAATAGTTGGTGGCAGCTGTTTAGGGTCTCCAACTAGCACCAGCTTTTCACACACAAACCTACAATAAGCATTCCAATGAAAATCCAAAACACAAACTTAAATTGTAAAATGAATTAATTGATTGCTTCTCTTTATAATTAGCAGTTTGCTTTGTACTGGGCTCCTCTTCTGTTAACCCCTTGTGACAGAGTAAACTGTCAAGTAGGGGAGATAAACAAACTCACACAGGTGACTCCAGTTAACCTCTTAACGGCTACTAGGAGTGGGAAGGGTATGGGCCTATGTAATTTAGACCTAGTTCATTCCAAGAGGAGTGAGAAGGAGAAGCAACATCCAAGAAGAGTAGGATGCTGAAGGAATAACAAGGGAGCAAAACAATGCCAGAAAAGGGAAGGAGAAGAGAGGAAAAATTAGCTTGGGGGACGGGGATGTTCTCAATTTAGGAAAAGCTTGGTCCCAGGCCTACTTCCCTAGGAAACCTTGGACTTGCTGAGATGTAAGATAATTTTATGCTAAATGGGGCTAAAGACTTTGGCTGTAGATGACAGTAAACTACATAGTGAACATTTTTTTTAAAAAGTACTCCTACATTCTCTGTAGTATCCTTTCTCTTCTCTACCTCCTCTGTGGTGGTGAGACCATCCTGGCCCCCAAACAAAGGCTTGTGACATGTGGAACTCTGGAATTCGGGGCTTAGCTGGAGGGCTAAGCAGGACTTAGCCAAGTCACATTAGTGATTAACTCCCTAGATCTGTTGAGAATCCACCAATTCTCATCCCATTTCTTTCCCAGTGGAATTAAATAGATGTCCAATAAATGCTAGTTCAGTACTAGTTCAGAATTTGTTTTCTTGAGTGTAAATTAATTATATTCTTAAAATACCAAAGTGGGATTGTTTAAATATGTCACCATTAGCTAAAAGTGATCACTACACAGAAATGTGAACAGTTGATTTGTACCTTGCAATGGGAAGGAGCGAAGTAGGTTCTGTCATCTGACTGCACTCATCCAGCACCACCACAGGGAACTTCAGGTTATTCATGCAAGGGAATGGGCAGGCAGCACAGGTTGCCCCAACCACTTTCACCTTTGTGATGTAGGGTGGGAAAGAGATTTAACAACCTACACAAATACACAGCTTCCATGATAGCATAAGTTACATAGAAATTTAGCTATCTACCTAGGCATGTCAAGTGTACCCATCACTCTGGCTTACAGACACTAACAACTGAATTTCAACATCCATTATAACACCTCCTAGTAAACAGGTCTTCAAAGTTATGTGTTTTCCCCTCTCTTGCAAATAAATCTTGTGCATTACATTACAAATTTCAGAGAATGCCTCTGACCTTGTGATTCCTGTTCTTTATTACAGTGAAATAACTAAGACATACAAGAAGCTTGATTTACTCAAGTATATTGGAAAAAAGCTTATTTGGGTATGGTCCATTTCATTCTATATAAAGTTTTCACAGCATCCAACATCAGAGGGGGGTGCCAGTTTATGTATGCTTGGCTTCTCAAAGATTAAAAAAAAAAGTTTACTTTGTCTTCTTTAGTCCACTGTGTTAGTACCTGTCGCAGAATAGCTTTATTGGTTCCTAGTTTATGATGTTCGATACTCTTTCTCACATATATTTTTTCTGCTGGAGTTAAATCTTTTTTCATCAGGGCAAGCAGTTCTTTTAACTCTTCACTCTCACTTCCAGAGCCAGCATGTAAGCTTTAAAAATATTTTGAAATGAAAGTTATGTGTATTGATAACTGCTTACTCAAAATGCAAAAGTAAATAAAAATAGTCACATTCAGAACTTTAGTCATGACTGATTTAATTAATGTTTGTAAATCTTCACAATACCCATATGACATGGGAAAGATTCTCTCCACTGTGTAACGGAAGAAACAAATCTAAGTCATGCATGCCCAAAGCCTCCTAGCAAGTCTGCTGTAGTCTGGATTAGAACTGAGGAGGTTTTTTTTTTTTTTTTCATTCTTATGCAGGTTACACTGTTACTCTATTACACAATTTTTAACATCCCTAAAGGAAACTATAAATCAGAGTTTCACATACCCTAATCTGGTCAACAATTTTACGAATTTGTGGTTCAAAGCCCATATCCAACATCCTATCTGCTTCATCCAGCACAAGGTATGTACATCGACGAAGGTTGGTCTTTCCTGCCTCCAAAAAGTCAATCAAGCGGCCTGGGGTGGCAATGCAGATCTCAACACCTTCAACACACAAGAGGGAGGGACATAGTTCTAGTCATAATAAACCAGATATGACAGTAAATTTGTTATAATACTTCCCTTATATATGTATACACACCTGAGACCAAGTTACTACTATTTTATTAGGAACACTAGGCATTTTTAATTTTATTAACCATTCTGAAGTTACTTTATAGTATCATTAGAACCTTGAATACAATCCAGGAGCAGATAGCCTCTCCTCAGAAATTACATGGAAGAGAAAAATAAAGACTCAGCAGCAGCAGCAAAGGTAAAATTAACCTCCACTTCCAGTTGAGCTGAATCCCCTGCATCCAAGGCTATTAATTCGAGAGCTCAGTTTGTAGAGGAATAAATGTTTAAATCCCAGCTAAATTTTCAACACTATCTAATCAGCCTTTTGGTAGTAAAGGAACCATATCCATTCAACAGCTAAAAGACAGCTCAAACCTTTCATTTTCTCAGATGGTTTTGTATAATATTGTTTAAATTAGGCAATTATTGTGGAAGAAGGGCATCTGTTTTCCTCTGCAGCATCTGCTACTAGAAATATAAGCCTAAACTGACTAATGATCAAGTATGACAAATTCCTACGTTCCTAAAAAGGAGATGACATTTCCACTTCAAAAGCTTCAGAGGGGTAGCCAAGTTAGTCTGTAACAAGAAAAACTTAAACAACAAATAGTCTAGTAGCACCTTAAAGACTAACAAAACTTGTAGATGGTGGTATGAACTTTCGTGGGCATAACCCACTTCTTCAGATGACAGAAGTATTGAAAGTCCAAATCCAAGAATAAGTAGGAAAGGGGGAGGAGGGGAAAGAAGGAAAAAAGTGGAGGAGAGAAAGAGAAAGGGAGCAGATAAGCTTCAGAAGGACAGTCGAGTTAGTTTGTAACAGGAAAAACTTAAAAAAAAAATAGTCTTAAAAAAATTAATGGAGATTGCCTATTTCCTAGGACTGGAAGGGACCTTGAAAGGTCATCAAGTCCAGTCCCCTGCCTTCAGAGCAGGACCAAGTACCACCCCTGACAAATTTTTGCCCCAATCCCTAAATGGCCTTCGTGAGGATTGAACTCACAACCCTGGGTTTAGCAGGCCAATGCTCAAACCACTGAGCTATCCCTCCCCCCTAGTAGCACCTTAAAGACTAAATAGTTACAAGAAGCTGATAAGAACCATTTCCTTGGACAATTCTCGCTTAGACAACCACCTAACCTGAAAAATTCTTTTCAGTAACCACACAACATACCTCCATCATAACCACCCAGGAACCCACCCCTGCAATCAGCCCTGGTGCCAACTCTGCCCACATACCTACACAAGCAATTTCATCACTAGACCCAACCACATCAGCTACCAAATAAGAGGCTCATTTAACTGCACATCCACTAAGATCTATGCCATCAATGCCCCACTGCAATGTATATTGGTCAAACTGGACAGTCTCTACAGGAAAGAGCTGATCGCCATATTTGGGGTTGGGAAGGAATTTTCCTCCAGGGTAGATTGGCAGAGGCCCTGGAGGTTTTTCGCCTTCCTCTGTAGCATGGGGTACAGATCACAGCTGGAGGATTCTTTGCATCTTGGGGTCTTCAAAGTATTTGAAGGCTTCAATATCTGAGATATAGGTGAGAGGATTATTCTAGGAGGGGTGGGTGAGATTTTGTGGCCTGCACTGTGCAGGGGGTCAGACTAGATGACCATAATGGTCCCTTCTGACTTTAAAGTCTATGAGTCAGGTTTACATATGGCAGCAGTGTGACACTCAGCTGGTGATTAACTGAATAATTTTCCAAGCTTCTCCTTTTCAGTTCATGCTATTTTCTGTGCAATTTAAGTTATATAGGTCACTTCTGCTTAAATCATACCTGTGACACTGGACCCCCATATTTTTATGAAAATATTTTTGATTATGCATAACTCATATGATTTATGCAAAATTTGGCATATAAACTGTTATTGAAAAGCTTGTAATCCACTGACTGTGAATATTCTAATTGTGTGCATATATTCTTATATGTGAAGTTAGAAATAGGAAATGTAAACCTGTTTGTTAACCTAAATCTTCTAGTGTGAGCCATTATTTTAGTGAAAGTCAGCACTTAAGGAATTTTCCTGGCCCAGTGCTCAAGACAATGAGCTGTAAATAGTTTTGGTTTTTTTGTAAACCCACATTGTAGTTGGTCCTACAGAGACACGTGACCATGCTACCTGGTACTGGAATTCTTCTTGAATTTTGTACTTGTTCAGAATGAGGGGGAGAATGGAACAAAGGATTCCCATCCTGGGGAAATTCTATTTGAAGGATGGGGAGCAAACAAAGAGGGTTTTTAGCTGGCATTTGAAATTGCCTCCCTCCCCTAGGAGGCAGAAGAACACATGAAAAAGAAAAGAACTATAATGAGAAGGGTGCAGGAACATTACTGGGCTCAGGTCAAAGGAAAAAGATCAGCTCTGGCTTGTGAAGAACTGCACTTAAAATAAGAACTACGGTGAGAAATGATCTCTAACAACTCTTCTTAGTGTATTAGGTTTAGCTGGCGTGTTTTGTTTTGTTTTTTGCTTAGTAACTTACTTTGATCTATCTGTTTTCACTTGTAATCACTTAAATCCTACTTTTTATACTTAAAAAAAATCACTTGTTTAACCTAGTGTAAATAACAGTTATGGGGGTGGGAGGGAGATGTGGAACAACAACTGTGCACTAGGGATGTCAACATATAGTCAAGTACACGATTAACTGATAAGCCTGGGCTTATCAGTTAAACCTATCGACTACATGCAACACCCCTCTGCCTCTATCAGAGGCAGCAAGGGGTAGGGAGGTTGGAGCCAGTGTCCATAGGGAGCTGGCTTTTAAACCGTCTCCCAGCAAGCACCTGATCCCACAGAGCCACTGCTTCCCTAAGCCCTCACTGCTGCCTCTGATAGAGAGGCAGCAGCACAGAGGATGAGGCGGGCAGGCGGGAGCTGGTACATGTGGGAAACTGGCCATCGGAGGCACCAGAATGGGAAGGGGGCAGGGGAGGCTGCCATGGAGCAAGCTCACTACGGACAGAAGAAATATTTGGTGCTGCCCCTGGGGCTGCCGCCCCAGCCTCTGTCCGCGAGGAGCTCGGGCCCTCTGTGGACAGGGGCTGCTGCTTTCTCATGCTGCTGCCTCTGTACCAGCCCCACCCCCACAGACTAACAAATATTTGGTGCAGTTACATGATTATTCAATTACATGGTATCTAACATCCCTACTATTCACACTTCTTTCATTGATAAAGGGAGAGGACTTCATGCGCTTTCTCTGTAAAACTTTTTCATATAGAATAGTGATAGAAATGTAGCCGTGTTAGTCTGGGGTAGCTGAAGCAAAATGCAGGACAATGTAGCATATAGAGTAAGACAGAGTTATCTGGGTTTTTGGTCCTACTTGGGGCTGTGCTCCTAGATGCTGACAAGTCCCCGTAACTGAGCCCTCCCAGAACTGATATTCATGTCTGTGTTACTCTGCTGGGGTGGCCGTTAACTCAATTCTGGGACTTTGCTGTGGGAGACTAGTGCTTGTGGTGGAGCACCCCAGAGGGTAGATAGGGTGGGCTCAGTGATATGATCAGCACATCAAGTGACAGTCCCAAATGAATCTCTGTGATCCAACGAGTCACAATACCAACTTTTAAAGAGATAAATGTCTAAAATCCAAGCATGTATAGATTAATACAGCCATATACAACTGCTTGTTTACAAACTATAAGCCATTACAACTATTACATTTTCTGTAAAAAATAAACTGTTCTGCAAGACACCATTAAAATCACGTTTACACAGCAGTCATCTTACGGTACTACTACTATCAATGGTGATCTATTCAGTCCTTTGAAGATCTTAAGTTTTTTACCTGTAAGGAAGAACTCTCTTGGCAATTTTTCTAACACTTCCAACTCTGATGAAGTCCTCAAATCCAAGATCTAGTAGACTTTGATAAAATACATTTATTGTAGAAATGGAACAAGATGCAAAACTTGCAGTTTTCCCCCATGCTTTTAAGAGGGACGAAGATCAAAACACTAATACAAATATTTATAGCCAATTTATCACAAGAAGTAATGTAGCACAAAAAATGCATTGTTTTGTTATGACAAGAGTAGGTTAATTTTGATTCTATTTCCCACAGTGCTTCATACTTTTTATAACTGTCCTCCCAAAAGCACTCCTCACCTGCATCCTGTTACCCTCTTTTTATCCCTCCTTTCATCCCCATCATTTACTCCCAGACGCTTCACCACATCTGAATCTCTCCAACTTTCTTCTCATCCTGGCTGCACCTGTTGATCTCTAAGGGTACGTCTAGACTACATGCCTCTGTCGCCAGAGGCATGTAGATTAGGCTACCAGACATAGTAAAATGAAGCGGCGATTTAAATAATCGCCGCTTCATTTAAATTTACATGGTTGCCGCGCTGAGCTGACAAACAGCTGACCAGCTGTTTGTCAGCTCCGCGTGGCAGCCATGTAAATGTAAATGAAGCGGCGATTATTTAAATCGCCGCTTCATTTTACTATGTCTGGTAGCATAATCTACATGCCTCTGGCGACAGAGGCATGTAGTCTAGACGTACCCTCACACTCATAGCTGCTGCTGTCTTTTCTTAACCCTGCCCCCTTTATTTCTGATTTATCATCCTCTTGTCTTCACATCCACCACTAAACTTCATTCTATTTCTCCCTCTTCCTTCCTCCCTTCCTCTCAAGGAGCACTTGAGCCACTCAGCAACAAAATTTAATCTAGGTCATAAACTCTTAGTGTTGTGCTATCTGTGTATGTTAGCCAGAATTTGTGATGACCATCTCCCTGCATCTGTATTTGCTCTCTCCTGCCAAGACCTTACCTTCTCAAGCTTTGTATGCTAGATCAGTGGTTCCCAACCTGTGGTCCACGGACGCTTGGTGGTCTGTAATGGTAATGCAGGGGGTTCATAGAAAGTTTAAAAAAGGGGCCCAATCCTTACTTTTCTTTTTCTTTTCCTTTCTTTTTTCTTCCCCTGGGAGGGGGGTGAAATTTTAATAGATGGAAAAGGGGTCCGTATGCTCGAAAAGGTTGGGAACCACTGTACTAGATGTTGTTTCTCTCTCCTTTCTGTAGCTTCCAGCCCCACAGAGCCACTTCCTTGGAAGTATATGTTGTCTAACTTCCCCACCTTACATTGGGTTGTAGTCAAGCATTCTTCTAAGCCACTTTCTCCTTTGACTCTGGCTGGTTTTTCTTTTTCCTCAGTCACCTTGTCTTATTCTTGTTGATTTCCTCCTCATCCTCTTCCCCAAAAGCCTCTTGCTGCCATTTCCT